CCACTACGGGGTCCTCTTTGAAAATAGCCACCACTGCCGACTATCCTCCAGTTTTCCAAGACAGTCTGCTTTTACCAATGCACGCACAGTCAGATATCCGTTTTCTAACTACCTCGTTAGGAACTCGTAAACGCAATCCCACACCAGCAACACTTATCAAACATCGGTGGTCCAAAACCTGAAAACGCCGCAGATCATCGGTTTGCAGAGGCCATGTCTTGCAACCATGCAACAATACAACCCTTACTACAGTCTGATACACGCGACCTGGGACCCAGTGATGGGGCCTTTTGACGCTACAATTGATGCAGATTAGGACCGAAGTCATCTGGCAACATGGTGTCCTTCAAAAGTGTGCCGGTTATGAATTCAAATCGATCCCATTGACATCAGTTACCGATGTTGCGGATCAATGATTGACTGTCGCTTACTCATGAGTACATTTGCCAATTCCGAACGCGCGTTCTTTTGAAATCACCCCCTATTTTCTTTTTCAAGAGGCGCATGGAGCAACCAAGACACTGGCAGATCCCAAAATTATACCAATTTATCATAATCGTCTTCTGGAATAACTTCCAATAGCCGCACCGTCGTATGTGAATCGGTGCTCGAACGAGATCACCACACCTTCACACAGTGCCGCGAGTTTTGCCTACGGCACGGCCCAATCAATAACTGGATATCAGACAGAATAGTGACACTGCTTTAATCTCGGATAAACGTTCCCGGTGTTCTCAAACATAATTTGGCCCGAATAATTATCATACGTCAAGTGAAAATGAGCGTGACGCCTGGTTGACACGAAAGGCTACGGCCTAGTAATACAATAATGTCAAAAAGTTGTTTCAGTTGGTCCGGTAACCACCTGTGAGCGAAACCATCAAGGATCAAAGTGGCGCTATCATCTGCGATAAAGGACGCCTCGAGCACTGGGCCAAGCATTTTGAACAATTCACGTGGTCACGTTCTGGCACTCGTTTCGATTATAGAGCTGAAGCAGAACCCTGGACGTCGAACACGGGGCCCCTATGGCATCGGATGTTTATGACTGCATATGTCCTCTCAAGCGCCACCGAGGTCCTGGTCCGGGTGACATCCCACCTGCATTGTTCAAAGATGGTGTAAAATAGGTCAGCGCCTGTTTGTCCTTCTTCGCCTTACGGTGGATCGTGGAAGACTCGATGGCAGCAAGCGGGATTCCGCCCTGCTAGGGGTGCTGAAACAACGCCACACGTACAAACGACCCACGATTTCAGTATTCCTGGATTTTCAGGCCACATTCTATTCAGTTGTTCTCCTTAATATGTTGGGTGAGCAAGGAATGCCCCAGAAGTTCGTGAATGTGATAAATTATTTGTATCTCACACTTTTGATTTTTTTTATTCTCATACTTTCGGGTGAGTGTATGGGGAGCTCTCGAAAACCCTCCGTACACAAAGTGGTATCCATCAGCGCGACCAACCTCTCCGTCCCTATTTGATTTCGTGATCGATGAGATACTGAGTCGAATGCTGGGAGTTCTTCAGATGCTTGGTTTTCAAATAGCCACTGATCTGATGAAACCTTGTCGATCTGGAATATGCAGACGACATCGTTGTCGTTTTCGAAGAGAAGGCAAACATGTTTCTGGATGAACGGGTCGATGTTATCCCGTCCTTTGGCGTGCACTTTGCACCCACACCGTGTAAGCTCATACTAATGGACAAGCCACTGAGTTCAAAGAGGCACCGAACTTGTGTAGTGTTTTAAGCATCTTCGAAGTTGTAACAGTTTGAATTGTAACGTGACAGATAAGCTCAATGAACGAATCTCTAAGGCCCGGGTCCCATTAGCTCATTTGAGACACTTGGCAGCAAAGCAGCATATCCCTGAATCTCAAGCGGTGTGTATCAGGCTACAGTATGGGCTGTTTTGCTGTATGGTTGAGAGGCATAGCCCCTTCGAGCGGCGGAATTGAGATGTATTCAATTATTCGACAACCGTTGTCTCAGAACCATAGCTCGTGTAAGTTGGTGTCGACGAATCCGTAGCGAGGCGACTAGTAAACAAGCGTTTAGTTGTGCAGCTTTCCTCAAAGAGTCTGTCCATCACGAAAAGCTGAGGTTGGCAGACCATGTATTGCGCGTGCCAAACTATTGTCTGCCAAAAACAGTGCTGTTTTCCGTACCCGATTCAAAGTGGCGGATGGAGGACCTGGCAGAGAGGTATTAAAGAGATTACGGAAAGTCTGAGTGTTGTCGGTGCGGTTCGCTGTGCCTGCTTGGAAACGCTGTAAGATATGGCTGCTAATCGATGTAGATGATGATCCTGTTGTCCGTTCCTATCCAGATTGCTTGAATAAGTGTTTGAAGGTGTAGGAACTTCGCAATGATCATGGTAGGTTAGCATTAAGGCTCTTCTACGTTCACTTTTGTTCTTTTTCCACAATAAGGCTTTCAAGTGATTTATGGTTTTACGGCACCAGTGTTGAACACTGATGTTATGGTGTCTATCCAAACGTTGACTAGCCGTGTTTTGACCTTCATTTAGGTTGCTACCATTAAGGCGTAAGACTTTGGCTCAAAAAACACGAAATGGGACACATCGGTTTTCAAAAAATTCTTCCGGTAGCTTACGTTCTATTTGAGGTCCCTGGATAAAAACCCTGGATGACTTTGGAACTATTTTCCATTCGCCCTCAACTGCTACGCTCATTTTTGTTTGAAGTATTTCAAAACCTAAACAGAGACAATGCCTATGTCTGAGGCCTAACTCCAGATGCAGATGCCGATGTACCCAACCTTCTGCAACGTCCTTAATGTTAACATAAGTCTGTGTTCTCCTCAAAAAGAGCGAGTTCCTTAAGTAATACATCAGTTCACCTATCCTTATTCTGTTCTCACTGGCGTACACGTCTGGTGTGTCAGGACGTTTCTGTCCCCGCATTGTTGAGTGGATCTCCTGTCGCAGTTGCTGGACAGCGAAGGTTGGGTCTTGCTGTTCATTTGTGAAGGCTCGTTTATCCATCCAACTTGCTGAGTAATTAAGGGATGATTCGTAATTCCCATCTGGAAAATGAATCGAATACTTTGGTGCCTGAAGGTACGCTAGCCACGTCTGGATGGGGCCCCATAGAAGCCCGGAGCACTGGGTCACCCCAAACAAAACGATGGCAAATGTGGTAGAGTTGCTGTATACACAAATAAAACGCACCTGGTAAATGTAACGGACGCGTACGATCTTTAAGGGGCTGATGTATTCATGATGATGCCGGTGAAGGAGCGAGCGCCACCGCCACATTCATTTACTGAGTCATCTTTGAAATCAGAAAGTGGTGGCTTCTTCTCCACATAATATGAGTTGAAACGTTTGAAGCAGGCAGTATAGCCATTTTACTGAACTGGTACTTAATTACAGGAGGCATGTGAAGTTTATCTAAAGTTACCTAGCCATGTGGCGACCAGGTGAAATGTCCGAAAGTTATTTAGGGGTTATTTAACAGTATGTCAGGTTGTAAACAGCTAAGCAACGCTGGCTAGCTGGCTAGCAACCTACTTTTATGGTTACTTGACCTCAAAATCCTGCTACCGATAGGCCGCACAACTACCAGATAACTCAGCAATATAGATATCAACTGAGACATTAATTGCTAACAATGCAAAATATATATAACGTGGCGATCACCACAAAACACGACATGCGACATTTGCACTGAAGTTCACTAAAAATTTAAAACTTGTTGGCCATCCGTCAGATAATAGTTCAAGAACAGCAAAATATGGTTAGTGTCCATAGCCTAGTTATTTAGCGTTGGCATGTGGTTATATTAAAACTGCAGAACACAGTTATTTGACAGTTAGCTCTTGGTTACTGAACATTAAAATGCGGCTAACCATTGGTTTTCTAACCTAGAGGTAACCGCAAAAACATGGTTATTTGGTCATGGTGTTGCAATAACAACAAATTAACGATCTTGATCGGTTACTATACATTTGGTCAACCAGTGAACAGCTAAAAAGCGAGTTTTTTCTCAAGGACATGTGCTTATAAGTTAGCTAGTGTTATCCACCATATCAAACTACCGGAATTCAGGAATATATTCATCTAATCTATTTTATTCGGGTACTGCGGTAGGTGCGTCACTAATTTGCTTCAAATTCATAAACAAGTAGGGAGGTAAGTGAGAATGGTTGATTGTTGGTAGCTTCAACGCAACTTAAATCGACAGCAATAGGCTATTTTTCAGACTTACTTTACTTCTGAACGACTATCTCCTGATGCGCGATTTGCTGGCTTCAAAACTGTCTCGGATACGCGCTATCCAAACAGCAAGTCTGGACAAGAGTAGGAAACCCAAGGCTCATAGAGTGGTGTGGTAAGTTGTCGATTCTAGTCACAGATTCGAGTTGCGTTTCTGAAAAAAAAAGAACGAAAGGAACGGACCTTTATCATTCGTGATGGTGGTGGTTATCGGCACCTAAGCTTGTGGGAACAATTAAAAACCAGTGTTTGGTAGAAAGAGGTGAGTGGTAATACATAAGTGGAGGGTTGAGGGAAACGTTTAAGGAGGAGGGCGGCATAGAGCTTTACGACAATGAGGGGGGGGGGGAAATCACCCGCTCTGGGAGTTTATTTCCGAGTGGAACAGTTACACAGATTAGTTTACTCCCTAGTCTCCTGTTTTGGAAGAGTTCGATATCGTATCCCACCATCATCACCGACAGCATAACATCGGTGTTTAGCACCGATGGTTAAGCAAATGTCACGCATACACCACGGGTGACGCGGGTTCACAAACCTGCTCTGGCGTTCCCAAACCGGGGGAAAATATTATCTTTTGCGAGACCACTGAAACTGATACAGCTTCCCAGGTAAACAAGTCTGTCTACTACCTCAATCGTCTTATCTGAAAGCATTAGGTTAGGTTGCGAGCCCACCCAGTCTGGCACTAGCACTTCACACTTTCCAGGTGTGAATTGCATCCCGAATCGCGAGGCGGAACTACTTAGATTATCTCATACTGTTCGCATTATCACGGGGTCAGATCCAAGAAGGGCTATGTCGTCTGCGTTCTCGATACCTCTGGGCAGACGTCCCCGGGGCACTTCGACACCACAGGCATTAGAGGCTGATAGTGGGTCTTCCATGGTCGCATCAATAACAAAGTTGAAGAGGAAAGGTGAGAATATATACTTATCTGACGACACCTGATGTGGTGAACTCAGAAAAGTTTCCCATAGACCTTCATACGTCCGCGGGAGTTGGCGTACAGCGTCTTAAGGAGGGTCAAGAATTTATGGGAAACATCTTTGCTCCACAGACAATGCCATAGTGCCTGGCGGTCCACAGAGTCGAAGGCAGCTTTCAGATTAATATACAGAACTACTGCTGGTTGTTGAAAGCAGTGTCGTTGTCCCAGGGTGAATATATGATCTTGTAGGACGAAACCCAGCTTGGTTTTCACGGATCTGTCTTCCGTGTTCAGTCAGCACTGTCTGTTTGCAAATTTGACATAGAGTACGCACGCCAAATGTTCCTATATGGAAAGGATTTCGTGAATGTAGAAGGGTATTGTTTTGTTTATTGTTAATATACATCTAGGAGCACAGGGCCCTTCGTTCAGATAACTGACAGTCGAATGGTCCAGAAACGTTTGCCTGTGTGGTGGGAAGGGATCGGGGTTGGACATGATTCATGCACAAGCCAGCATTCTGATTGGTTAATTGCGCACAAGCCAGGGAATCGCGCGCGTTCAAATTGCATTTGTCTGCAAACCAAGAAAAAACGAACTGAATGGCTAGATCGCATAAACTAAGTCTTCGTAGTTTTTTTCCGGTCATTATGGATGAAAACTCCGATTGATTTGATTTAGTCAGGAATTTAATTAACGTCCGTTTGCCGGACTATAATCCGCGCAATCCCAGAGTGTAGTTTCACCAGATCGAGACTGTTTTTACTACTCGACGTATCACTTACCAAGCCACCCGTTTTTCCTTTATCGTCCAGCATTTCCCCAGTGGTGAAACAACAGAAGTCGAAGATCTTTTGGAAGATGTCTCCAAAGAAAATCCCTTGATGCTCTTCGAGTGGCTGTCATCAGTAGGACAGGCAAATCTGAAAACAAGATGCTGTGGGGTTTATTCACTACAGTCAAACTTGGTGAGCGGTCGCCGTCACAACCTCTCTGCCATGTGCGCAGTCTCATCGGCGGACGAAAGCCCGATAAACGTCCACCCCCCATGTCCCGCGTCATCAGTGGTTTCGTTGATGATTATAGCATAGAGCAGCTACCTCAAATGGCGGACAAAATCCATGTTACCCCAGTCCCCATGTCCCGCGTCATCAGTGGTTTCGTTGATGATTATAGCATAGAGCAGCTACCTCAAATGGCGGACAAAATCCATGAGACTTACCCCAGTCACCCTGTTAAATCCATCTCCCGACATACGCCCACTACATCCACAGATTTTCATTCAATAACTTCTGCCATTTCACGACTACATATTAGATTTAATACCTTGACCGATCGCCCACAACGGCTGGAGATCAACGAGCATCGACCACGTTCAAGATCTCGACCGTTGTCTCGTTCCTGTCCCTCTTGGTCCTGGTGTAACGGTGATACTACTGATGGGAGGCATGCGAGTAGTATGTTTTCTTCTTGCAAGTTTGCTTTACGTCTCCAGAAAACGGAGAGATCTGTTGCGGAATTTGTGCAGTGGCATTTGCTTGGATTTGAGCAACAGTCAATAAATGTCAAGGAAAAAATCAGAAAGACGCGTTCAAAAGAAGATCATTGTTCGGTTTTTGTAAACGAGATGCAAAGTAGAGTTTTGTTTCATTGCCCAATATTCTGAAACTGGTCAGTTAGCATTTACTAATAAATAACTCTGCAGCGAAGGCCTTTTTCCATTCACTGGTATCACCCACACACACACACGCCTTGTTCCTTCAAGCCGCGTTCCAACAGCCCTTTAAACACCCCGGCCAGTCAGTAACGGCGACGACTGTCTGCGGCCCTTCTCCCACTGGTCGCCTATTCCACATCACCGATCGTTCAAGTGGTCTACGTTTCCTCGTAGATACCAGAGCTGAAGGTATTGTGCTGCAACATGAGAATCCACTTCCCGATTCCGCTTCTCACTCGTTACAGGCCGCTAACGGTATCCGCAGCGCTACACACGGCGAACGTTCCCTCACCCTTGACCTCGGATTGCCACGACGTCCAGACACATCGATCTCGCTGACTTCCCAACCGTATACAACTTATCTGTCGATGTGCGGCACAAACGTCTCTTGGGCATGCTAAATTCCCTCTCAGTCAACGGAATTAGTGCCCCAACTTCATCCACAGTTATCCAAGTTATCCTACCCGATTCCCATTTTGTTGACATGCTTGGGGATTTTTCAACACTCACTCATCCATATCAGTACGCCCAAACGGTCACTCATTCCGTCGTTCACCACATCCAGACGAGAGGTCCACCTGTCCGTGCCAACCCCTGTAAACTTCATCCGGATAAGCTACATATCGCGAAACACGAGTTCGAACAAATGCTCGAACTCTGGATCATCTGTACTTCATCGAGTCACTGGTGGTCACCCCTACATATGGCGCCCGTGACCTCCAACTTTGATTAGAGACCCTGTGTAGATTACCGTTCCTTCAATCTGACCACTATCCCAGACAGGTATCTCATTACACAGATCCACGAGTTCGCAAGCACGTTATGCCACGCAAACATTTTCTAAATACTCGACCTCGTAAGTGCATACTAACATAACCCTGTAGCCCCGGATGACATTCCTAAAACGGCTATCGAAACTTGCTTATCCTTTTCAAATTCACGCGTATGTATTTTGGCATTCGAAATGAAGCTCCAAAGTTTCATCGTTTCATTGACGAAGTATTGCGTGGTTTGCCTTTTGTGCATGCTTTTCTAGAGGACTTTTTAATTGCTAGCACTACCCAACTGAGTATGCAGGTCATCTCAGGGCAGTATTTCAACGTCTTTCTACCCACAACATACGTTTGAACATTAACAAATGCATGCTTGATGTTAATAGCTTAGATTTCCTTGGCCACCACGTTAACTTAAATGGTATTTCACCATTGTCCGATCACATTTCGGCCTTTTCCTATGCCCACTATCATCACTCAACTTCGTCGCTTCATTGGTATCATCAAGTTATATCCACTGTTTATCCCTCATTGTGTAGATATTTTAGTCACCAACCGATTTAATTGGCTCCAAAGAGGAATCTGTTACTTTCCTCCCCCCGCCATTACTGCATTCGAAAGAGTCGAGCAATCCATCGCTCACACCACAAAACTACCTCTTTCCGATACTCACGAATATACAAAGCTCATTTTGACGACCGTTGCTTCGAACGCTGCTGTCGGTGCCGTATCCATCAATTTGTCAACCGTAAGTCTTTTTCTCCCAGAAGAAACAGGCTGCACAAACGTTCTATAGTGCTTTTGGTCGTGAATTACTTGCCATTTACCTTACTATTTGCCATTTCCGGCAGTAATTAGAACGTAGACCATTTATCATTCAAAATGATCATAAGCAATTTACGTACGCTTTCAACGCCAAGATCGATCGCTACTCATGACGCGAGATACGTCATCCGGACTATATTTCCAACCCATGTTCAGATAATGTCGTCGCAGACGCCCTATCCAACCCAGACATTGACACACCTCACTCTTTCACGCAGTCGGACCTTGCCAACCTGACGAACCTTCAGCATTGTGATCCCTATTTTACGTCCATACTGTCCCACATCCAACAATCCTGCTATTTCACCATCACCCGTACCTGCTCACGAACCCCCTACCGTCGACCTGACTCCTTCCACTGATCGTTCTGAACGACGCGTCCCTTGTCCTCCAGCACTTAGTGGATTACGAAACACGAAGCGAGCAAGGCTTCGATTCGCTGTTTTCATTATTCGACCGTTTTTCCGCCTTCGAGGTCAACGATGTAGTGAGGGAAATTTGTGGTGTTTTGTGTATTTCTTTTGCTTCCATTATAAAATTACTTATTTTGTCAATTGCAGAACCGCTTTTTGTTTGAATACGAAAAACCACAAAAACGCGCACTATTAAAACTTCGTGCAATTCAAACGTGGTCACGCGCTTCTACTCTCTTCCTGGTTTCTTTACAGTCTCATGTGCTAACTCTGGTGTCGCTACATTTTAGAATCTATTAGTGATATCTGTTCAAATTAATAACCCTGGACAGCCATGATCGGATTATTGTTTACTCGCTGACCTGAACTCACGGCGAATTATTTTAAAGAAAACCATTCTTAGTGAGTCTGTTCCATTTGATATCTTCATTACTGTATACTCAAACCAGCGTATCTTTGACACAATCCCCTGGTAAAGTAGCTTTTTGTGTAGCCCCACCACTATAGCGTTTATGAAATGAATAAATGAACTTAACATCACAAAACGTAACCGCATACCATAAAATGCCTTCCAGTAGCCTGGCTTTCTTCACACAACCTGTTTCTGAACACACACATCACTTCTTCCGTAAAAAGCGCGGCAGAAACTCTACATTTTTGTTTTTTGAGATATCGATTCAAACCTAACTACTGTCATCGATATGCATACATACTCAAGAATTTGCGCACCCGGAAATTTAGGTTGAAATAACCTTAGTTAATCATATTTTGTGCCGTATATGAGTGTCAGCAGAAGTAGTTGTGTCGTGCGAAGAAAGGTACCAACGGGAAAGTCGAAAAAAGTTTTGAACTGCTATCCGCCAGGACGTTGCGCCTTGGCTTGTCCCACTTGGTCGTCGAGTAACGAGTGGCCATGTGCGCAAACCTATGCTAATCGGCTAGACCTCGTAGTAGTAGTCGTATGTTATGGTATGTATGACGTAACTCGGAACAGCCCGTCATTTGCTTCAGTCTGGCTTGTACATGAATCGACTTCCTATTTCCTTAGCTGACCGAGTTTCATTGTCCACTTAGGCCATTATACCTTTTGCGTAATAATTCTTCCTTCAATAACTAGGACCCCTAGATGCCTAGATGGGGCTCAAAAATTTGAACTGGTATTCTGAACTCAATTGCCTGTCTTTTTAGTCCACAAGTGACAAGTCATAGCATTCGAAAATTCATTTCC